TCTTGTAACCTGGGGGGGGGGGGGGGAGGGAAGGTTTAGTCGTCAACCTGACTGAGACGGAGGTTGGAGGCGAAGGGTCCAAATGGAGACCATCCTTGGGACCAGAGGAAGTTGGTGACTATCCTCTGATGCTGCTGCGAGTAGCGAGAGAAAGGAGGAGCGATGGCTCCCAGCGTCGCACACACGCCAGCGAGGATCGCCTTGCTCGGGTTGGTAGCAGTGAGAGACAGCTGCTCGTGCTCGTAGAACAACGACTGCGCTCGCCAACATCAGTGACCCAGCATCGCCACCTCCTCCCCACCTGCTGTGTCACGTCGCCATGCTGGAGAACAAGCACGCCTCTGCTGCTGTACGCCAGCGTTCCTTCTCCTCCTCCCTCGCCATCTGCGAGCAGCCGCGTTACCCCTCCCCTCCCCTCACCCACTCCTCCTCCTCCTCCTACCAAGAATGAGAGGAGCGCTGGGACGCTGCAGGGACAGGACGTAGACAGGCAAAACTCTAGTGCCCCCGCTGATCCCTCGCTTCCTTGCACTCTTGCGAGCTCCACCAGCCTTGTTCTTCTCTTTCTCCTCCGCCTCCTCCTCCTTCCCCTCGAAGAACTTGTGCCTAAGCGGGTGCCTGGCGTCGAGGTCAAACGATTGAAGAGGACGAGGGGCAGGGGAGAGGGAAGGACGCGGAGGAGGAGGAGGAGGAGTAGGAGATGAATGTTTTACCCAGCATCAAGCAGCCCCGCTGTCAAGTAGTCGCCAGATCGCTCAAGCTCAAGAAAGAGAGTCTGCAAAGCGATCAAGTGAGGCACGCATGCAGGAGGAGCAAGGAGTAGAAGCAGTAGGAGCAGCCACCTTGCTGTCGAGGTAGTGCTTGTAGTTGGACACGAGCTTCTTGTTCACGTGTGAGTGCGACGTGTCAGTCCTCGTCGCCTTCTCCACCGCGATCGCGACCCTCTCGTGCTCCTGCAGGTTGTGCAGCCCAGACACGAAGTGGATCGTCTGGTCCGGCAGTGCCAGCCGCTTCACCTCCTCCTCGATCCCCTTCACGTCGATGGAGAACGCATGCCCCTCCTCCAGCGGGTTGAAGTTGCGATGGTCGCGCAGCACCATCAGGGCCACCAACACCTCCTCCGACCCATCGAGCTCGTCCAGCAGCACGTCGGGCACGAAGAGGTGCGACACGGCTGACTGCACCATGCTCGCGAGCCGAGCCTCCAACGGCCACGTGCGGGAGGGCGAGGAAGCCTCCAACTCCCTCCCCCAGCTGAACCAGGCGCGAGGGATGCTGGTCGTGATCACCGCGCCCTCGCCAGCTCTCATGCTCCCGAACTGCGTCGGTCCAGCGTTGAGGTCCAGGAAGGCGAAGCGATCGTAGCAGAGGAAAGCGTCGGCCCCGAGCTCCTCCTCGGGGTCAACGAAGTACCTGTACACAAACTGCGAGCCCACTGCTCTCCTCAGCTCGCTCCCTTTCTTCCCCGCCATGCTCCCCTGCAGCTTGTCCAGCAGCCCCTCAGGAGCGAGCTCGAGCTTGTCGAGGTTTGCGATGAAGAGCGTGTACGACTGTACTGAGTTCTCCCCCTCAGAGCTCTTGGCCCCTCCTCCCCGGTGGAACCAGCTTCCCTCCTCCGGCTGCTTCTTGTCGCTGTCAGTGTCGAACTTGTACCTCTTTCCCCCCGCAGGCGCGTACGTGTCGTATATCTCCTTGAGCCTCTGATACACCCTCCCTTCGATCGGAACCCTGTACTCCAGCAGCTCCTCCTGCTCCTCCTGCCTCGCCCCCTCCTCCATAGTTCTCACGTCTCCCTTGGCATCTCCTGCCTTGCTCTTGCTCTCCTGTAGTGTCATCGAGGTCTTCACCGCATGCTCGAGAGCGCTCTTGAACTTCGCGTCGACATGAGCGACATGGAACCACAGGTCGTAGGAGACGTGCAGCTTCTCGCCGGTCTCCATGCAGGAAGGCTGCAGGGAGGGCATGGACTTCATGAGCAAGTCTTCGAACTCGGAGGCCGAGAGGGAAGTGAAGACGTTGTTGGAGTTGTAGTCCAAGTTGATCAGAAACACGTTCACCACCAGCGGGATCTTCATGGGAGCATGCTCCCGCCCGAAGGCAAACCTCGGAAGATGCTTGGGGAGGACGGGGCGGAGAGGCGAGATGAAAGCCTCCTTCCCTGTCGCTGCCTCCATCGACTCTTGCGGGATCAGCACGAGAGAGAAGAAGAGGAGGACCAACGTGGTTCCAGCAAGATCCCTCGCCCCTGCCTGTCTCCCTTCAACCTCCTGCATCTCGATCGGCAGCTCTTCCTCTGCTTCTGTTTCCTCTAATACCCTCACCAGTGCACAACGAAAACAACAAGAATCTTCACCTACTCCTCTCCTCTTCCCTCACCTCTCCTCTTTCACTTCCCTTCACCTCACCTCTCCTCTCCTCTCCTCTCCTCTCCTCACCTCACCTCACCTCTCCTCTCCTCTCCTCTCCTCTCCTCTCCTCTCCTCTCCTCTCCCTTCAATCATGCTTCCACCATTTTCTGCCACGCCATCGCTGTTACACTGGTAACCGTCAAGTCTGGTACCATCTCAGGCTCGCCTCATCGCGACTTTGCTTGACTAAAATTTATTACTCACTGTTTGCCATCCAACGAGACGTCAGCTAAGCTGCGAAGAACAGACCCCAGTCCTCTCGTCCTCAAGCTCGTCCTCTCGTCCTCAAGCTCGTCCTCTCGTCCTCAAGCTCGTCCTCTCGTCCTCAAGCTCGTCCTCTCGTCCTCAAGCTCGTCCTCTCGTCCTCAAGCTCGTCCTCTCGTCCTCAAGCTCGTCCTCTCGTCCTCAAGCTCGTCCTCTCGTCCTCAAGCTCGTCCTCTCGTCCTCAAGCTCGTCCTCTCGTCCTCAAGCTCGTCCTCTCGTCCTCAAGCTCGTCCTCTCGTCCTCAAGCTCGTTCCCTCGTCCTCAAGCTCGTCCTCTCGTCCTCAAGCTCGTCCTCTCGTCCTCAAGCTCGTCCTCTCGTCCTCAAGCTCGTCCTCGCGTCCTCAAGCTCGTTCTCTCACCAAAGCGTCCGGGTGATCGTACAGTAGAAGAGTACGAGCGCGCCTGCCGTCAGTGCAGAGTCAGAGAAGAAGGTGACTTGTAAGCACATGGGAGAGGAGAGGCTTACCTTACCATGGCATCTGGACTCCAACTTGAAAGTCGCTCACTCGGCAGGAAGCTTAGCGGACCAAGAGTTGAGGACACGCAGAAACAGCGTCAACGAGCGACGACGGTGTGACTGGGTTCAACTTTCAGTCTGACGTCCAACAAGTGTGACTGGGTTCAACTTTCAGTCTGACGTCCAACAAGTGTGACTGGGTTCAACTTTCAGTCTGACGTCCAACAAGTGTGACTGGGTTCAACTTTCAGTCTGACGTCCAACAAGTGTGACTGGGTTCAACTTTCAGTCTGACGTCCAACAAGTGGCTGTTTGTACCATAAATACCCTCGTCTTATGTCTTGCTGGATCCCCATCGACTTCCGTGGATCTGCTTGCCATCACTGAATCTTCATCGTCATCGCAGGTAATCATAGCTGTACTCCTGCTCCTGCTCCTGCTCCTGCTCCTGCTCCTGCTCCTGCTCCTGCTCCTGCTCCTGCTCCGGTCTCACGCACAGTCCGACGTGCCCCCGGTAACACTGAGCGATATTCGAAAGATTTGAAGAAGCTGCAAGCACGCAGCCATCCTCAATCGCTCAAGTGGACGAGGAACCAAGTGTCTGTTCCCCTTGCGTCTGAGTTCGACGAGCTCAGTTGCTTTCTTCAGTCTCCCGCCGAGCGCCTGCAGCTTGTCGAGGCTTCACATGCGGCGCCAGAACGACAACCAAGGGGGTCGAGCTGAGAACACGCGCAGTCGATGGAGGACAAGTCGGGCATCAAAGCTGTTGGTACATCCGAATGATCTTCTCCAGCAGGGGGCAGACAAACTGTCTTTCATGAGGGAGCTTGCTGCTTACAGTCACGACCAGCCGCAAGGAAGAGAAGCGAGTGAGACTGACCTCAACGGACAGCTCGCATCGCTCTTGTACACACCGATGCACAAGACCCGAGCTAGTGACCATGGCATATTGGATCCTAATAAACCTGGAGTCAAGGCAGGTTGTGCTTGCAAGGCATTACCAAGCACTACCCGCCAAACAACAACCACGTCGTCATGGCTGGAAGTCATCGCGCACCATGCATTCTGCGCCTTCTCTCAGGCACAAACCTTGACCTGCTTGCCTCACCTTCTCGTCCAGGGCGACCGAGTGGAGGCGACAGCCTGTTGGTTTCCTAGTGCAGAGAGCTTGAGCGATCTCGACTGGAAGAGAGGCTTCGCTCTTGCTTCCTCCTCTTTGACAGCAGGTCATCTTGCCATCTTCTGAGAGCCACCACACGAAAGCTGAAGCAAGCCTTCCTGAGACACAGCATCATGCCATGTCACCTCCTCCCGCCTTCACCGACAAACATGGATGGCCTCGCCATCAGCCGCTGACCTGCGTCACCATCACCATGCTCTACGAGCCCCAACGGCTCCTACCACACCTCGCAAATGCGACGCAACGCTGACGGTCCAGACGGGAGGCAACTCTAGAGTCCATAGCTCGTCGGTGCCTGACGAGCAGGCGATCTTGAATATCTTGCTGGTGGCGTTGGAGTCCCAGTGAGCGAGGAACATCTCTCCCGTATCAGACGCAACAAGCGACACGACGTCAGTCTGTGCAAGCCCCAGACCGTCTAGTCTGACTCGAGCGAGAAGTCGAGCGTCTTCCACTGAGATCACAAGCAGCGTACGGCAGGCATGGTCCTACAAGGGAAGAGTGATCCGAGAGCGAGGCCCTCCTAGAGACACTGAGAGGTGTCGCAAGTGATAGAGACGTGCAAGTTCTTCAGCTACCAGCACGAGGATCTTGCGCGAGCATGCAGAGCAGATGAATCCTCTCTCCGCAGAAGCGTTCCCTAGTCGTGATCAGACATGAAATCTTTCGCATGGTTACCTGGCAGTCTGATTGTCTTCAGCATGCTGCCGGTCTTGACTCGAAACATCACGACTCGTTCCTGAGCGATCATCCCTGATCCTCCGAACCTATCCGCCACCAACAGCTTGCTCCTGCACCGACTGAGGGCGAACGCGGTCGGTTCTCGCAAGGCCTGGTAACATCGTAAGACGGAGATGCGCAGCAGGAGGATGGACCTGCTCCCCCTTGCCCTGGTAGGACATGAGGATGTCGCCGTCCATGCTCACCTCCAGGAAAGATCAGATCGGCCTGGCGTCGCTCGCTCTCACCTTCACCGCCCTCCCAGGCTCGAAGCGCGAGCCATCGCCGCTGCCAGCCTTGCGCTTCACTTAGTTCGCACCGCATGCAGCGCACCCATCACCTGCAGCAGGAGGAAAAGCGATGCGCTGCCATCGCCTTCTACCTGCCATGGCCGTCGCAAGCTCTTGCTCCCCACCAAGCTGCCCGCATGCATGAACTCCTTTCTGCAGTGCATTGCGGGGGATTCGAGATAGCTGGTGTACCCGGTGTCGTTCAGATGACGGGGTTAAAAATTCAGTGAAGTATGGCAGTCAGAATGATCCGGTGGACCGACTAGGCTGCCAGGCCTGATCAAGGGACCACATTTATGGATTCTCTACTAAAACAACAAGACAGGCTTGTCGGAGCAAGACCTCACATGAACATATCGTCGCCACCTGCAGTGAATGTCAGCGTCGTGACCGTCTTAGGTGACCTGCTTGACCTGGCGGCTGGAAGATGTCGTCTGGAATCTCTCGCCTTGTCCATCCAAACGCAGGACCATTCTAAGAGAAATCACGAGGTCAGTGACGGCACGTGACGGTCGGCAAGCAGCACAAGGTCACCGGGTTGGGAAAAACGCCGGGAGGGCCAAAGGGATCCACGCGAGCTCCTGGAGGAGCCGCCAAGCTCCCTCCTGCTCACCGAGGTTATCTCCCTGACTGCCCTCGCACTGTCCTGCCTGCAAGACTTCCACCGCCTCCCAAGGGCCCGACGCCTCCTAATGTGTCGATCAGTCGAACAAACGGAAAAGTCGCTGACACCGAATGCCGGATGCCGAGGCCCAAAGAGATTTCCCTCGGCTCCCATGCCTGGCATGACCTGCTCGGCTTCAGAGCAAGCAGGCAACGAGCAGCAGTGCCACCGGGTGACCGGGGAAGAGACCTCCTCCCGGCATCAAGTCTGTTCTGCCTAAGTCCGTATACACCTGAGCAAGGTTCCCTCCGAGTCCTCCTGGATGTCCGACATGCTCTGGCCTCCAAGGAAACGATCCGCTCCTCGGAACTTCTTCTGCTTGCATAGCACAGCCATGTTGTGAGCTGACGAAGGATCAGCGCGATGTGTCAAATTCAGCTACAACAACCTGGACGGTTTCTTTGGAACGAGGGACGGTAATAGCTTGTAAGTGATGTTGATGCGAACAGCTCGGAGAAGAGCTTCAAGATCGGTATAAATCTTTCAAGCTCCATCAGTCACTAGAACCGAGACAAAGCACTGTGATCTACCTTTTCGTAGTCAGAAATAAGTCTCTGAGAATGCAGAGTCTGAACGAAGTCGGAGATTCTTGATGATTTGAGAGTGTCAGTCAAGGGTGACTTAATACGACAAGAATGTTCACGAAGAGAGGGGAGCCACCTGAGCTCCAGAAAGAACACGTCCTGGACATTGTCTGAAGCTGCATGGACAAGCAGGAGGTCCTGGAGCCCCACAAGTTTGACATTGACCTGAACCTTCACGTTCTTACCTCCATCGTCACACATTTCACGGTGAATAACGCGAGGGACGAGGCATGACGGTAGAAGAAGGAGAACGCATCCTGGCAGCTATACGAAGAGTGAGATCGCGTCATCTAGTGAGGGTTACTGAACCCGTTCCAGTCGCTTGGGAAGGGGACGGGGGTCGAAGGGGCAGCTGCAGACGTCATTGAGGGGTTTAGATGAGCAAGACTCATGCCGTACCCTTGATGGCTGCAGCTCTCGATTCTTCAGCAGCCACGAAGCGAAACCCTGTCAACTGTAAGCCTGCATAGACATGCTGAGGTCATGCTACAACCATCTTTCTCGAGACAGGCGTGAACGGCAAAAGCCAGTGCGTCTGCTTCAGAAGTGAACTCTCCCTTTTCAGGAAGTTGTTTGATCGCTGACTTGAGTGCTTCCATGCCTATCAAGATCACACGCTGAGAATGTGCCCATTTGTTTTTTTCGTCACCGGGACATAAGAACCAGCTATGGCTCATTCCAAACCTCACACTCTCTCTTCTCCCCAATCTTCTCCTCTCCTCTTGCTCAACCATCCAACTAAAGTCACATCTCCAACTCCTCGCGGTCTTCTCACTCTCTCCTGCCGCCTGTCCCCTATGTGCGACTGAATTTTTTGCTCTCAATTTCGCCCTCTTCAACTTCTACTGAGCGGAGGAAGAAGGTGGGAGCATTGGAAGAGGATCTTCGCTCGATGGCAGGAGAACAAGGAGGAGAAGCACAAGGAGGCGCCAGGGGTGGGGGAGGCGTTGTGGGGCTAGCGAGGACCAGGGGGAAGGTAGCAAAGGAGTGCAGCCATAGTTTGTTTGTTTTCACAACCTGGGGCGGGCATGGTTTTGAGGTTGTTGTGTTGGGACTGACTTGCGGGTGAAGAGACAAGGGAGGAGAGGAGGGAGAGGAGGGAGAGAGAGGAAGGAGGAGCGAGAGACGTGTAGCAAGGGAGAAACATAAGGGAATCGAACAAGACAGACAGACAGACAGACAGACAGACAGACACATGTTGAACATCCCTTCCTCGAAGCGAGCAGGTACGCGGTGTTTCAGATTCCAAGTCACTCAGTGAACTCTCAGCTCTGCTCTCTGCGTGCCTCCTCCTTGTGTCCCTGGCAACCTTGGCAGGTTCGTCGCATCGTATGACGTCCAAGCATCAAGTGACCATTGCGCAGTCATAACGCGGGAGAAGACCTTTAGCTGGCGAGGGCAGAGCCTTGAGTCTATTCCTCCAAGCATCGCTTACTTGCCCAATGGCGCCTTTCCTGTGACTCCCGTGGAGAATGCAGCAGCGTCAATGCCTCGGGTGGTCTATCAGGCCAATGGGCAGCTGCCTGAGCCGCGCACAAACCCGACGCAAGGCATGGTCAGGCTTCCCTACAAGCACAACGGCCAGGTCGATCTTCGTGGGGACTCGTTTGCCCCTTCCTGTAGCTGATTCTACTGGTTCAGTTCCCTGAAGCAGCGAAGCCAAACCCTGCTGAGGATCTCATACCTTTGAATTACCGTCAGAATGGACAGGTGAATCTCCTCGGACACGCTCTGCTCTAAAAGCAGGCAGTTCCCTGAAGCTCGTCCTCCAAACCCAGCTGATGGGTTGGTTCCGATGCAGTACGGGGACAACGGTCAGGTAAGTCAAGAGTGCTACTCTCGCGCTGCTCTCTGACTTGGCTCTTACACCATACCGCAGTTTCCTGAAGCAAGGCGGCACAGCCTGCCAAGCGACATCCATCCAGTCAGTTACATGAGCAATGGACAGGTGCGTGTGGTAGCTGTCACTTGTGAGAACTTATCGCTCTGTTCATGTTTGGTGGTGAGCAGTTTCCTGAAGAAAGGAGACAAAATCCTGCTGACGAGATGGTTCCGCTCTATTATCGTGACAATGGACAGGTAGCTGTGTTATCTATCATACTTCATCTTTAACAGTGTATGTGGTCGCCTTTTCTGTGCAGTTTCCCGAGCCGAGCGACCGCGATTCTGCAGGAATCTTAAAGCCTCTGTCTTACCAAGCGAATGGGCAGGTATGTAATATGATGTTGCTTGACGCGAGTGCTGCGTTGACTGCCCTGACGTCTGTGGTCTTGTAGTTCCCTGATACGGACCAACCCGGTGAGCTCGAGCTAAATCCCATCTTCTACCTCGACAACGGGCAGGTACTGCTGTCGTACTTCGACTGAGTATCATGACTTTTATGTGTTTGTTAGTTTCCAGAGACACGGGGATCTATGGCCTTGAAGTCAAGAATCCTTGGCGGCTTTAAGGTTGCCTGTGCTAGAACCTCAAGTCAGCGATTGACTGCAGCGTCTCAGCATGTAGCAGCAGCTCGTGTTGGCCAGCGCCCCTACTTGAGGGGACCTGCCCTTGTGCGAAGAGGCTTGGCAAATGTTGTGTGGATGCCTATTCAAGTCGATCACTAGTACGAAAGTTAGCTACAGAGGGTCGCGGAAGGGGGCTGCTGTCCGGAGGGCCGCGTGCGGCAACGTCGGTGTGTTCCTTTGGCAGTTAGATCAGTGCGTTATTGTGCCGTTTTAAACAACCGGGCCAAGTGCGTGGGTGAATGTCCTTACTTACTAGCTCTGCTTGCTGGCATGCACGAGCAGAAGCGGGCTGGGCCTGCTGCTGCTGCTGGTCGGATGCCGGGATTCGATCATGCCTGCCCACACTCCGAGGCCGGGTCGGGCCCCGGCATTCTGGTCGCCCCGGCGGCCCGACTGGAAGCTCCGTCAAGAGTCACTGAGGTCATGCGGCGGCCACCTGAAGCTTCCTTTACTCAAAGTTAAGTTAAAAATCAGTACGAGGACAATCAGGAGAGTCGAGGTCATCAGTTTCGAGGAGGTGTGAAGTTTTGAAATTTGATTCTGAGATTTGAATATAGACCCGCGTATTTCGATTTCTCGCCTTTAGTGCCTTAGTCAAAAAATGGCGGGAAGATGCCGAGTGTGTGGGAGAAGAAGCGAGGAGGAGGTCTGTGAGGCTTGTGCGGAGCTTGACTGCTCTTCTCCTCTCCTTGTCTTCTCCTGCTCCCAATGCGGAAGTGAGAACCAGATCGTTGAGAGCGACCAGCTGCTCTGCGAGGTTTGCGGCCACTGCGACGAGCACGTGAAAGGAGCTGAGACGCGGAGAGGAGTGAAGGATGAGCAGCTTTCGATCGGAGCTTCAGACTCCGGCACTATCGATTCATTCTTCTGTTCTACTTGTTCCGCCTTCAATCAAAATGTCCTCATTTCCCAGCAAGGTGCTTGCTGCGAGGTGTGCGGGTCGCGGGAAGCCAACCCTCGTTCAACCCTGAGGGTGGCAAGGAAGCTGATTCAACCACCTGTCAGCTCTCTTGGAGATATTCCGGAGGAGCCGCAGGTGCTTGATCGTTTCTTTCCCAAGCAACCAAAGCATGATAATGAGCCTAAAAGTACCCTATCAAAGCTCAGATTGGAGCAAACGATGCCAGCTGCAATAGCTTTTGATACAACCAACACAGTATCATCATCTATTTCTGATCTGCTGCAAGAAAATGCACAATTGAAACAGAACATCATTGAACTGCAGAACAGCTTGTCATTTTCGGAGGAAAAATTGAAATCAATTGGAATTGACCTTCATCACGTAAAGCTTTCCCTGGACAGGGTTGAGAAAGAAAACTCGAATTACACATCATTTCATGCCAACATCGCCAAACTACTGCTAATACCCAGCAACGAACCAAAAGATATAATCCATGTGAAAATAATCGAGAAACTGAACCAGCTTCTGACAGACCAAAAAATGATGCAAACAAACAAAAGGAACATGAACGATAATGACATCAACATTAGCAAAAACAAATCCGAGCAACAATCCAAACAGAACAATGCACAGGAGCTGCGAGAGGCAGAGAAGGAGAGGGAGGAGCTGAGGGCGAGGGCGGCAGAGGCGGCGAGCGGCTCAGAGGCGGAGGTGTCGGGGCTACGGGCGAGGCTTGCAGAGGCCGAGGGAGAGCGGGAGAGGGCGCTGGAGGCGCAGAGGAAGGAGGAGGCGAGGGCGGCCAAGGCGGAGAGGGATCTGGAGGGCGAGCGCAAGGCAGGGGCGGAGGCGTACGAGGCGTACGAGGCGCTTGCACAGGAGCTGCGAGAGGCAGAGAAGGAGAGGGAGGAGCTGAGGGCGAGGGCGGCAGAGGCGGCGAGCGGCTCAGAGGCGGAGGTGTCGGGGCTACGGGCGAGGCTTGCAGAGGCCGAGGGAGAGCGGGAGAGGGCGCTGGAGGCGCAGAGGAAGGAGGAGGCGAGGGCGGCCAAGGCGGAGAGGGATCTGGAGGGGGAGCGCAAGGCAGGGGCGGAGGCGTACGAGGCGTACGAGGCGCTTGCACAGGAGCTGCGGGAGGCAGAGAAGGAGAGGGAGGAGCTGAGGGCGAGGGCGGCAGAGGCGGCGAGCGGCTCAGAGGCGGAGGTGTCGGGGCTACGGGCGAGGCTTGCAGAGGCCGAGGGAGAGCGGGAGAGGGCGCTGGAGGCGCAGAGGAAGGAGGAGGCGAGGGCGGCCAAGGCGGAGAGGGATCTGGAGGGGGAGCGCAAGGCAGGGGCGGAGGCGTACGAGGCGTACGAGGCGCTTGCACAGGAGCTGCGGGAGGCAGAGAAGGAGAGGGAGGAGCTGAGGGCGAGGGCGGCAGAGGCGGCGAGCGGCCTCAGAGGCGGAGGTGTCGGGGCTACGGGCGAGGCTTGCAGAGGCCGAGGGAGAGCGGGAGAGGGCGCTGGAGGCGCAGAGGAAGGAGGAGGCGAGGGCGGCCAAGGCGGAGAGGGATCTGGAGGGGGAGCGCAAGGCAGGGGCGGAGGCGTACGAGGCGTACGAGGCGCTTGCACAGGAGCTGCGAGAGGCAGAGAAGGAGAGGGAGGAGCTGAGGGCGAGGGCGGCAGAGGCGGCGAGCGGCTCAGAGGCGGAGGTGTCGGGGCTACGGGCGAGGCTTGCAGAGGCCGAGGGAGAGCGGGAGAGGGCGCTGGAGGCGCAGAGGAAGGAGGAGGCGAGGGCGGCCAAGGCGGAGAGGGATCTGGAGGGGGAGCGCAAGGCAGGGGCGGAGGCGTACGAGGCGTACGAGGCGCTTGCACAGGAGCTGCGAGAGGCAGAGAAGGAGAGGGAGGAGCTGAGGGCGAGGGCGGCAGAGGCGGCGAGCGGCTCAGAGGCGGAGGTGTCGGGGCTACGGGCGAGGCTTGCAGAGGCCGAGGGAGAGCGGGAGAGGGCGCTGGAGGCGCAGAGGAAGGAGGAGGCGAGGGCGGCCAAGGCGGAGAGGGATCTGGAGGGGGAGCGCAAGGCAGGGGCGGAGGCGTACGAGATTTGCAGTGATTTTGACGACCTTCAGAACAATGTTGGGAGTTTTGAGTCTGAGGTTGTTTACCTCAGGTCCCGATTGCGTCAGATTGAACGTCTTCTTGATGGCCTTCCATGTGACTATGTTTCACTTGTTGAAGACACTGAATGTTTGAGAGAAGATCTTCAAAGGCGAAAGGATGTGTTTGTCAAAGAATTTCAGGAATTCACAAGAGAGAAGGAGAGTTGGGAGATCGAGAAAGCGGAGCTGATGACAAGTTATCTTTCCATTCAACGATGCCCCTCTCATTGTGTAATTGTATCGCGAGAAGTTCTTGACCAAGTAGACATGCTCACTGACCAAGTTTCAGAGATCACAAGCGACATTTATTCGTTTAAACACAAGTGCATAGCAAGATTGTCTGCTATCAGCAGAACTTCGAAGGATTCGTACAACTATCAAGCAGGGATGATTCAGGAAATTCCAAACGTTGTTGAGGAACTCAATGCCAGCTCTTTCTCTGTGGTTCTTTCCGACGCTCATTCCAAGTTAACGACTGCGTTTTCTGGGTCCACGCAGACTGAGGGAATCGACCCGAGTACCTTATCGCCAGGTACGCAACCAGTAACGAACAAGCTTCGCCTCGCAGCCTCCTCACCATGTCAACGATCAGCAGCAGAAGAGTTCGAGGCGACATTGTCATCCATGCGTGAAGGCAGCCCAACATCGCTCAAGTTCGTCGAGGAGGCGCTTCGCGAGTATCCGCGGGTGGTTCTCGACGCTTCTCATGACGAGAAACTTGTGAAGGAGGAAGTGACGGCTGGCCCGCCACCTTCAGCCTTCAAGGCTTGGAGTCTCTTCCTCTTGGCGTTCCTTGCTTGTCTTGCCGTCGGGTGTCTTTTCACCCCGTGGCCTCATCAGCTGAGCTCCTTCAGCTCTTGCCTGGTGCAGCTGACACCCTCGAGCGCTCCTGCTCCTCCCAGCCCTTCACAGGACCGCGTGGAGCCCAGGGCGTGCGACCGACTAGTCGGCAAGGCGGAGCAAAACCTTGCCGAATGCCTCGAGCGAGAGCACAAGAGTCGAGTGATGCTGAAGCAGTTGCAAGTCAACTCGACCCAGTTGCATGAAGCCCTCCACTCATGTCGAACAGAACAGGCGATGGTGAAGGCGGCAGATGTTTGTCAAGATTCACGTCATCTGCTTTCAATTGCAGCCGCTGATGCCAAGGAGATCAAAAATGAACAAGTGAAGCAGGTAAGGAACAAATTGACACGTCAACTCGCGATCTGGTCCAGATTTATGTGATCTAACAAGAAGCTAAACCCACAATTCGCATCTCTTCCTCTTCCCCTCTTCTCTTCAACATCATCAAAGTTGCATCTTGCCAAGCAACGCCATGCTGACATCTTTCTGAAACGCTCCAGTCTGCTCGACCATGACGTCGCACGTGTTCCTTTTGTCACTCATGAGTTGGTAATGAGAGGCGGAGGGAGAAGGAAAGAAGAAGGGGAGGGGAAGAGGAGTTTCAAGTCTTACGCTCGTTGGTTGACGTTCTTCACGATACCAAACTTGAGGCTCCCGTCTGACCTCGGCACAACGCACATCTCGCCAATCTGCCGCACAAGGTCACGACCGTCTCTCGTCTCCCCAGGCTCAACACCTGGAAGAAGCCTCCTCCCATCACGAACTGAGCGCCTTCGCTCCACTGTGACCGCAGGTGAGTCTGAGCATCTCAACCTTCCCCTCACCTGTCGCGGGATGTTGTCTCCTACTGTGAACTTGGACGCTGCCATTCTCGCCTCCCACTCGGGTCCGAGCCGCTGCAGACACTCGCGAGCTGAGGGTCTCGCCTTGGCGTTGGCCTGCAGCATGTCGGACAGAAGAGAGAGAAGGTCGGGAGTGTTCAGGAGCGCCTTGCACTCCGCGTTGAGGCCCTGCTGGTCGAAGGATGCACTCTTAGAGTTGGCCCGGTTCTCGCACCACGCGCGGAGGTCGTAGTTGAAAGACGGGATCTCCCGCGTGGTCACCAGCCCGAGCGTTTGGATTCCTTTCTCTCCTGCCACCAGCGAGGGCATCAGAACTCTCAGAGCCGTGATGCCGACGGTGTAGATGTCGTACGACTCCGGCTTGAAGAAGTCTGGGTCTGGTGCTTCTGGCGGCGCATAGATCTCAGTGTAGTCATCCATGAAAGGCTTCTTGCCCTTCTCTACCGCAGACCCGAAGTCGATGATACGGAAGGGAGAGAGCTTGTCGTTCTCGACCAGCATGATGTTGCGCGGCTTGAGGTCTCGATGGATGATCCCCTTGTCATGCAACACGGCAAGAGGCAGCAGCGACTCGCCGAGAACTTTCTTGCAGAGGTTGATCTTGAGGTACACCACAGCTCCGCTCTTGAGCTTCACTGGCTGCGTGTCTCGCACGTCGAGGGTGCTGGCGAGGATGGGTGACATGCCGCCGCCTCGGTCGAAGAACGTGTCTAGAGTCTTGCCTTGCACCTGCGACCACACGAGCCCCTGCTTCGACCCGATCCCAGGCGGCAGCTGCCGTTCGATGGGCGTCAGATCGACTGTGCCCAGGAAATCGGCGACGCCGGGGATGCCCCCGAAGGAGGCGATCTTCTTGTTGATGAGAGTCTCTCCCTGAAAGGCCCGGATGGAGTCGGGGTCAGTGTTGGGCAGCTTGACCACCACCTTGATGTCCTTCCTCGCCGCGTCTGGGTTTGTCCGAGTGTCGTAGGTCCCGATGAACACATACCCGAAGCCTCCTCGCTGCATGTTCGATCCCCCGCCTGCTCGCCACGTCACCGTCAGCCGCTGCGCATCGAGGGTGCCGGCAGCCATCTGCTGCTCGTTGGCACGTGACGCATCTGACTTGGCCTTGTTCTGCATCCAGAGCGGGAGGCCAAAGGTGGGCCGGTCGATGGTTTCTGTCATGGAAGGCTTGGGCTTGGTGAGGGTCGGCTGGGGTTTGGGAGCGTATCTGGCCTGATACTCTTCCTCCCATATCGTCTCTTGAGTCGCCGTGTTGAAGTAGTACTTGTCGCCCGTCGCCTGTGCTCCATCGTCACCTCTGGCGTTGACAGGCAGGAAGACGCACCGGGTCCTGGTACTGCTCCCACGTTCCGTCTTGACGCTACAAGGGCAGCATGTGAGCAACGCGTAGAGGAGGAGGAGGAGGAGGAGGAGGAGGAGGAGGAGGAGGAGGAGAAGGAGGCGGAAGGGGGGGGGGTACGGGGTGAAGACTCACCGAGGTGGGACGAAAGTCTCTCTTCATCCAGAAGGGATCATCCTCATCCTCGTCTTTCTTGAACATGTCGAAGAGGCCCATCGACACGGCGACTGGCTTGCGACACTGACAGCAACGGTGATTTAATGACAAAGAAGAAAAGGATGTGATGAATGCTGTGATGACTCTGATGTTGAAAATGGCAATCGCGAGTAAGATGATGATGATGATGGTACGGAGAAAGTTGTGGTTGTGGTGATAGAAATGGTGATTATGATTGTCATCAAGATGATGACAACGATCGTAATGATGATGTTAATGGTAGCTGTTTAAGCTGCTATTGAGAATTGAATGATAACGATGATGACGATAGTGATCACTATTTTGACAACGATGATCAAGACAACTTTGATGGTGGTGGTGGTGATGGATCTAGTTTAGATGATGGTGATGGTGATGGTGATGGATCTAGCTTAGATGATGGTGATGGTGGTGGTGATGGATCTAGCTTAGATGATGATGGTGGTGGTGATGGTGATGGATCTAGCTTAGATAATGATGATGGTGGTGATGGATCTAGCTTAGATGATGGTGATGGTGATGGATCTAGCTTAGATGATGATGATGATGATGGTGATGGTGATGGATCTAGCTTAGATGATGGTGATGGTGATGGATCTAGCTTAGATGATGATGGTGGTGGTGATGGATCTAGCTTAGATGATGATGGTGGTGGTGATGGATCTAGCTTAGATGATGGTGATGGTGATGGTGATGGATCTAGCTTA